CATGGAGCATGGATTCATGCAGACTAAGGGCTCTGTAGATCCAAATCAAAGATATCCAAAAGGATTTCCCCAGGAAGCAACAGTCTCATGTGAATGATAGCAGAGAGCAAGTTTAATGTATTGGGAGCATATCTTCCTACTGCATTTGCTCAGAGTGTCTGTTTATGCTGAGACCCAACAGCAGAGTTAAGCAAGGCTGTTCCTATTTATGTGCTGGGATTTCATGTCTAATGTGGCCTGGTGGGCTTCGAAAAGGCAAAACAAAATATATGCCTAGTTTAAACAAAATGCATCACTGCCTCACTCTTCATGGTTTAAATCACTGCAAAAAGAGGAAATAATTAGAATTGTTTGTATTACATTAAGCTCCAGGAAGAGCAGACACAAACTCATGTATATTTACTGCTGTGCAAGCAAATACAGTTAGTGTTGGACTGAAGTAGTGGAATCACTGTCCCTGGAAGTGCTCACAAACCACGTAGCCGAGGCCCTCAGTGCTATGGGTTAGTGGTGGCCTTGGCAGTGCTGGGATAAAGGTTGAACTTGATGAACTTGAAGGTCTTTTCCAACCTGCTTGATTCTGTGATTCTACAAATAGACCAAGCAGGTGTCATCATTAGTTTCTGAGACCTCATCAGTTCAATGTCTTAATGCTTAAGCTCACGTACGAGGTCTGTGGCAGAGCTGAAGCTGCAGACAGAGTTGCTTCTGCCAGGAAAACCAAGACCAGATCAATGGTAGTGGGTGCCTTTGAAGTATGAAGGGTAAGCAAAGAGTTGTGTAAAGGTTTCTGAGAATGAACCACAGGGATTTGCTGGGTCAGTGCTGCCTCAGTGCCTGAAATCTTCTGCTGTTGATGTTCCTGGAGAGACAAAATGGACAGAGGTGACCATTCCTAATCATTCAGGACTGGATTTGCAGATTGGCCCATCTGTTTCTGGAAGCAGTTATTGGTCATAGCTAATTCGCAGATTTGTGGCTAAATATTTCTCTTATTATATGTGGATATTAGAAGCTAGGAATAAACTGAGGATTATAAAGACATTATGGGCAGGTTATTCTACGTTTTCTTGCCCTTTCCCCTTGGTCCTAGCTGGAGGCAGGGTCCTTCTCATGAGCCCATTGCTGGTTCAGGACGGCATTGCTTACCTTCACCTGGCCTAATGCCTGCACTGTTGAGCTGTGAACATCTCATTGTCTTTAGCGTGCCTCCTCACTACCTTGCAAGGCAGGACAGTGTTGTACCCCCTTTGTTCAGAAGGGTAAAGGGAGGCTATGACCACACTCAGTTGACCAGGTCACTGTGATGATTGATAATGAAATCTGTAGAGCTCATGAATTCCAAGCTGATTTTATTAAAACTTTACGAAGTTTGTTTTCCATGCCTCATGGGATGCTTAGGGTGAGATCTGAAGGGTGCAAATGGGGAACTCTAGTTGAGTTTGCATGCTCGGGGCAGTACAGGAGGGCAGTCCTCTCCTTGGTGGTCTTCTGTGCTGCTGCCTATGGTCATAGGAACATAGAATGTCAGATTTGGGTTTGGGTTGAAGGGATCTTAAAGCTCCTCCAGCTCCAGCCCCTCCCACAGGCAGGGACCCCTTCCACTAGAGCAGCTTGCTCCAAGCCCCTGTGTCCAACCTGGCTTTGAGCACTGCCAGGGATGGGGCAGCCACAGCTCTCTGGGCACCCTGTGCCAGCGCCTCAGCACCCTCACAGGGAAGAGCTTCTTCCTTATGTTCCTTCCAGGTAAGACAAAACCTCCTCTGAAACCTGCCAGAGTGATCCAGGACTGCAGAGGACCATCCAACCTGACAGGTTGGACTGAAATGCAGTCCTCAGGGATCTAGGGAAAGAGATTTCACCAGCCTCCCTCCATATATTCTCATCCAGATGAATAACCTTTTCTAGAGCTGGCTGTATTTCACTACTGGAAGACATGATTTCCCTGTGTAAGTCAGTTTAAGTTCCCAAAGCTCTATAGAAATGAAGACACCTTATATCTGTGAGCTGGTATTATTAATAATAATTTATCACATAGTTCCCCTTTTACTTCCAACCTGGACTTTTATCATCTCTTCCAGCTTCCCACCTCTCGGAGCAATTTGCCATTTGTCAGGAAGAAATGGGAGACGAAGCTGCTCTTCCTCAAGCTGCAACTACAGGGGTACAACAGAGGTGGCTGGAAACTGAAATAAATCCAAAGCCCTGAATCCCACTGTCTCCTTAATAACAAAGAGCTTTACTCCAAGCCTTTTCCAATAAAACTCTTGAGTGTGTATGGTGTAGGTCAAAGGAAAACATATTTGAAGCCTGAAAGCTGAGCGAGAAGGAAAACCTTGTGAGTTTGCCTCAGGTAGTTTGTAACCTACATACCAGTTGTCAAACCTCACCCATTTATCACATCTTGAACCAACTGCTTTTGGGTTTGGGATTTCAAACCCCCCCTGCCCCCAGGTTTTCACTGTGCCTGTGTTAAAGGTAGAGAAGACCTCATGGAGAGCTGGTCCATAGGTAGGTATTAAAGGCAATGCCCTGTGTGCAACATCAAGCTGAGAAAGTCAGTAAGGATGGCGGGGGGAAGGGTTCCTGATTTTCAATACCCTTTTCCTCAGCATGGGCCAATGTCAGAAGTGAGTTACTGGGACAGATGGCCCCTTTTGATCTGCCCCAGTAAGGTCATTCCTGCATTCTTATTCCCATCGGTGTTTGTTACAACCAACACCACATCCAGGGGGCTTGACAGCTGGAAAGTCAAGATTTAGGAAACGCCAGTCTAAAACTCCCTATTTTATCATTGTGTTTCTCATGGTGAAGTTTACACTGATGTAAGAATAATGAGCCAGAGGCTCAGCTTCCACATGGGCTATTTTAACCAGGTTAGCTTAAGACAGACCTTATTAGAAACCACTATTTTCAGAGGCCTGCAGCAAAAGAAGGAAAGTGAAGTGCAGCAGCACTGAGTGTGCTCTGCATTGATTTTTCAGCCTGATTTCCAAAGGAAACTAAGTTTATTTGATCCCTGGCTGTGTTGAAGGCCAGGTTGACAGGGCTTGAGAAACCTGGTCTAGTGGAAGGTGTCCCTGCCCATGGCAGGGAGTTCAACTGAATGACCTTTAAGGTCCCTTCCAACCCAAAATCCATGATTCTATGATGAATTCTGCAAGAGAATCCACCATTTCTGCAGTGAAGGAAATGGATTGCTTAGACAGCAGAGAATCCCTGTTTAAAACAGCTGGCTTGGATATGCCAATGATAGGAACACTTACAGCCAGTGCCTGGGGCTTATGAGCCATGCAGTAACTCAACACCAGCATCCAGTGGCTGCACGTGTCCTGCATCTCATGCACCGGCTCCTTTTATCAGGCCAGTGTATTCCGAGGAATGAGAGTTCTAACGTGTCCATCCCCAGCTACCTTTGGGTGAATCTGGGCCAGGCCCGGGCTCCTGGCCATGGGGATGATTTGCAATAGCAGCTGATGGAAACAGCGCTTGCTGCCAGCCCCCTCTTCTTTCCCTATTGCCCTGCAGGGTCTGCTGAACAAACACTTCCAAATCTGGGGAAGCTGCTGTGCCCCTGTCCTCTCTGCTTAGCTGTTTCAATGGGTATGAAGGCTGGGTTTGAAAGATTGGTCTCTCTTCTCTTTATTTGGAGACACTTGTGTCTTGATTTCATGCCCAGGCATCCATCTCAGCAGCATGTGCCCCATAGTTAGGACAGCCAATGCTCCAGTCTCTTATTTGAATGCACATGGAGGTCAGACATGGAGGGAACTCCACAGGGCTCTCTCAGTAGGCATCAGTGGCAGAGGGAGGGTAACATTTACCCCTGTGAAGATGTTGGGTCTCTTCTGAACCCCCTAAATGCCCTTGCCCACACAGTGATGCCTCCAAAAACCCGGGGGAGAATAAGCCTCCACATCCCAGAGTAGGGGTTTGCAGGGCTTGCTCCATCCTAGCAGGGAGGCTGGGTTATTTCCCAGTGAGAGCTGGACAGCAGATGAACAAGAAGAGAGTCTCAGCATCACAACCCACATTGCACTGCACTGAGACAATAGAAAGCTTTGTGGAAGTGGGAGAAAAAGGGAGAGAAGGAAAGAAGGGGGATGCTGGCACCGGCAGCGGCTGCCTGCTCTCAATTTACTCCTGAGGAGTCCCCTAATAACATCAGTGGAGGCCGTGCACGCTTTACTGGGAGCTTCAAAAATGTTTATGGGATGATTTGTGTGGAACGGTTACGCTGGAAGCAGTTTAGGGAAGGTATGCTGTTATTAGAGGGGTTTTCAAGCTCCATTTGGACACTTCTATCTGTTATATACCAGCAAGGAATGAGCCCCAGCAGCTGTTTGCTATTTATTAGAGTCTACGGTGGAGTAACAAGGAGGGAGGCAGCAGGGAGGGGTTCAGCAGCTTGGCGAGTTCTTCCTTCTCCTTTTTCCATAGGTTTTCTGCAGGGCTGTGTTGAATCCTTGTAATTTCCTGCCCCATGCAGACATCACAAGTGAAGAGCAAAGTGCTGGAGAGAATGCCTGGAGTCAATACGCACATGTGAACTGGTACCTCTCAAACCTCAAAATGCAGGTTAAGGGAGGTGTCACTGCACTGTTTACACTCATTGTGTTTTCATGCTCATCTTTTATTATGAAGGAAGCCTTGAATGTGTTGCTTTGGATGTTACTGAATCCTGAGCTGTCTCTTGTATGGCAAATGGAGAGACAGCACAGATTTATGGCAATAAGAGACAGCAGTTTCTAGTATATCCCTGTAAGAAAGCCTTGAATGTGTTGCTTTGGATGTTACCTAGTCCTGAGCTGTTCTCTGTATGTCAAATAGATAGGAGAGATTTCTGCCAGTAAGAGAACAACAAATTCAAGTAGATCCCTGCAAGAAAGCCTTGAACTTGTTGCTTTATATGTTACCTAGTCCTAAGATGCCTCCTGTATGGCACATGGAGAGATGGGACAGATCCATAGAATCATAGAATTGTTAGGGTTGGAAAGGACCTTAAGATCATCCAGTTCCAACCCCCCTGCCATGGGCAGGGACACCTCGCCCTAAACCGTATTACCCAAGGCCTCGTCCAACCTAGCCTTGAACACTGCCAGGGATGAAGCATTCACAGCCTCCCTGGACAACCTATTCCAGTGCCTCACTACCCTAACAGGAAAGAATTTCCTCCTTCTCTCCAATTTAAACTTCCCCTGTTTCAGTTTTAACCCATTACCCCTTGTCCTACCACTACAGTCCCTAATGAAGAGTCCACCCCCAGCATCCCTATATGCCCCCTTCAGATACTGGAAGGCTGCTATGAGGTCTGTGCCAATAAGAGACAGTAATTTCTAGTATACCTCTGCAACCCTGGTCCAAGCTGCCACAAAAGCCTTTATTCTGCTCCAGGTATAACTCCATGTAAAGTTTTCCAAACACAATTGCAAGTCTAATTCTGAGTATGGCCTGTGCCCAAACTACAGGGCGTAAAATTGCTTGGCAAAGCCAATAGGACTCCAAGGGTTTCAGCCCATCTCTGATTGCTGCCACATGGCCCGTGAAAGGGAACTGAGGAAAGTGAGCCCAGCATCACAAAGGTGCGTTTTGCTGCACGGGCATCCGCGCTGAAGCTGGGAATGCTTTTGGTGCAGGGACAAGGCTGACTGGGGAAGGTCAACCTCGGAGCCTGCTGTGTCATTGTGGTCCTGCAAAGCCTCACTCAGCAGAGGCAGCCTTTAAAATACCTCCCCCTTTCTGATGAAAGATTCTGCGGTGTCTCTCAACGCAGCGTTTGAGATCTCACTCATCCCTCCCTCTTCCCCCCCTCCTCGGTGATCCCTCGTTCAAGCTGTCACGGTTTAACAGCCCTGCTCTGCTATATTATCAACATCTACAGCAACGCGCGGGCGACCTTTGCTCTTTCTAGCACTGCAGAGCCAGGAAAGCTGCAGGGAAAGGGAACAGGATCTCATTCTGGTTCATGCATCAGCCACAAAACCATCTGCTGAGTGTGGAGCACAGGAGTTTTATTAGCCGTGTGATACAGCAAGCAGAAAGGGCTTTGCTATGTTGCCATATGCCCGGGAACAGGATAAAACCTTTTCCTTCCCTCAGAGGAATTCAAGCAAGATCCATCAGGCTCCCTGTACTGAATTCCATTCCTCTTCTTCCTTTTTGCTTGCAGGACCACTGACAAGCTCTTTCACCCCAAAAGATCTGTGACCCACTGGGAAACCAGTGCAAACCAGATGCAAAACCTCAGTGAAGAGTGTTAGGCAAAATCCTGGCCCTGCTAAAAGCAATGAGAATTTAGCCACTGCTTCCCACAGAGCCGTGATTTCCCTCTTTCGCTCCTGCTGCTTTAGTGCATGAGCAGGGCTTTTATTTTCCCTGGAGCCTTTATTCTCTATGCAGATGGAGAACAGAGCTGCAGAAGGGCTGCCAAGCCAAGGGGCAGGTATTCTGTAGCTCCAAATCCCCAGTGCTGTGTATTTTACAAATCCCCTTTCCTAACATTTATTACGAAGGAGGCGTATTACACTTCCAGCTAAGGCACAGATGAGTGTGAAGAGTGGTGTCATCGGACCAAAGACAAACCCTTCCCAAAAGAACTTCCATCAGGACAATCAAATGAAAGGTAGGAGAAAGGGATAGCACTTGAAAGCCATCGAGCTGGCCTCTTGCCTGCTTTTTTCTTCCCCACATTGTAGCTCTTGCTGATGTTTCCAAGGGTTTCAGTTCATGGCTGGCTCTTTCCCCTGTTGCTGTATATGTGGTAGCACATAAGCATCTCCTGAAGGGTTGGTTTAAGTGCACTGAGATGCACAGGCACTGTGATTGGGACTAGTAGAAACAAGAAAAGATGAATACATGCTAAACACCCTCTTGGAAGGACCTTAATTGAGGCTTTTTACCTTTCCTTGCCTATTCTGTCCTCCAATTGTTCTCCACTCTTCACCATGGTGTCTCAGGGCAACGCAAGCTGCACAGGTCCATTGCTCCCTAAGATCTGTCACCAGCCCCATAAAACACCCAATTCAGCATCATCTTTCCAGCACTCCATGATTTTCCCACTCTTCATCCCTGCCCTGCATCTGCTGTTCCATAGGGCATAAAGATCTGCTGAAACATAAGGGTTTTATGGACTTTTGCACAACTTGGAGAAGAGCTCCCAGAAGAGCTAAGGCTCCATCTTCTCCATCTTTCCCAGAAGAGCTAAGCCAGGGCTCAATTATCCCTATAATGGGAGCAAATAGTTCTGCATTGGGAAGGACTGAGGCAGGAGCAGAGATACTGGCGGGGACACATTTACTTCTGTGTCATATCTTGTATAATATCTTGGAATGGAGTTTAAACTACCTGAAATTCATATTCCTTCTAGGAAAAAGCTGGGGGAAAGAACAGGTCTTTGTACTGACATCAGTGCTGCAAGAAAGGCAGGGACAAGGCTGTGGGCATCTGGAGAAATAACCCACACCAAGAGTTGTCTGGAGTGACCTCAGCTGCATCTGAGGGATGCCACCCCATCTCCATCTCACCAGCCTTTTTGTATGCTAAGGAATGGCACTGAGGAACCCTGTCCTCCTCTAGGATCACCCAAAGCTTTGTGGGGACCAGGCAGTTTCAGACACTTCAGGTATTTGGAGCTCCCAGGTGAGATTGAAGTACCTTTATTTCTGGTTTCCAGAATCCATCAATAAGATGATGAGCCTTTCTCCTGGGCCAGATGACAAGATTAACTCCAATACATATCTGTGCTCAAAATAAGACTGCTGTGAATTGTTCTTGATGTAAATAATGCTTTTCAAGCCCAGAAGGCACTGTTACAATCATCTTTGTTGCATCTCCTGCAAGAAATAGGCTGTCAAGCTTCTCTGATTTCTGCTTCAAGGCCATTGCTCTGTCTGAATCATTTCTGAACCGTATCCACCATGACCTCCGCATCCGCACTGGAATTGCTGCCTTTCAGAGAGTCAAATCGTGCCCCCTACTCCCATTTGGTAAATCAGGCCCATATGTGTCATTTTTCAGCATGTGGTCTTACATTTGGTCATATGAAAGTACCAGTAGTTTGCTTATGCTCGGTACATCAACCACAGCACATTGCCTTCTGTTAGCAATCTGTCTTGGGTTTTATTGTTTATTGTTCTTGCCAATCCCAGTGTCATCTGCTATGTTTATCCATAATGATTTTCATGCTTTTGCTTAGCCATTGATAAGAATTGTAAATAATGGAAGGATATAGACAAATTCAACTAGAGCACAACTATGGTATTAGGTCAGAGATGTGCATAAGCATCTATACCCTCATCTTAGACATGTCTGACACTTTCATCCCCTTAAATGTACATCATGTTGATTATCCAGTGGTTCCAATTTCATAAGAGAAAGTTTGTGGTGTAATTCACAAGATTCCTGTGGAAATGTTCCACATTCATGCTGTCATTTTTGCCTATCAAAGCTTATGTGAGATTGGCTTGATGTGATCTATTTTCTGTGTGAATCAGCGTTATTTTTGTCAGTGATGTCGTTGACTCCATCAGTTTTTCCATGACTGCTGTCAGGCTGATAGCTCAATGTTACCCAGGTTATTCTTTTTCTCTGTTAAGAAGGAATGTTTCTATTCCCAGGATGGAAGCTATTTCTCAAACCCAGCAGCACATAGTGGTCATTGGTTAGTTCTTTTGGAAATACGAGATGCCAATCATACAGATATCTAGTATCTATGTATCTGATTTTACTAGCTGTTCTTGGCAGTCCTGGGATAACAGTTGGACTTGATGATCTTAAAGGTCTTTTCCAAGCTACTTAATTCTATGATTTTATGTTTTTATGGCAGATATTTGATCACCATCAGGTAATATATCTGTATTTCCCCCCAAACTGGAATACAAATGTTTCTTAGAAGACATTTACTGCTTCTGAACTATTGTTACCAGCTCTGTTCTGTCTTTCCACATTCACCCACATCTGTCCATGAATTAATATTGCACTTAGGATTCTTGTTGATGTTGGTTTATTAAAACCTCCTACTTATTTTCCCAAATTTGTCCTCCTCCTGTTCCCCCTGGAGTATTTTTCTTCCCCAGAAATCTCTACAACTTCTAGTTCCTAACTTTTGCTTTTGAGCTTCTGTAGTTACTATATATTGGCATTCTAGTATTATTTTCATAACTGCATTCACTTCCTTTGTAAAGCCTGGTTTACTCTTCTCTTTGTTTTGTTTTGTTTGGTTTTTTTTGTATATAAATACTAAAATATTCTTTAGCAGTTTCCAATTATCATTTACATTTTAAAATCCCTTTTTGCAAGCCATTCATCTGCTTTTTGAATCAATGGAATCTACCTACAAAACCTGTTCAAACTTTCTTTCCTTCCCTTTATTAAAAGGAAAAACAAAGACAAGAAACCTGAGATTTGTATCTAATCCCATGACTCTGAAGTCTGGGCTTTTTTAAAACATGTAATAAAGGTCCAGATAAAATCACAAGAATTGGCAAGGCTTTAGTGTTGCATTTGTCTGACTGCATTCCCTGGCCGGTACCTAATAGCATATTATCATAATTCTTTTAATAGATGAAAATAATGATTTCACCACAATTTTGAAAGGTGAAATCCAGAGGAAGAACGTGTCTGGTTTTGGGCATTTACAGGAAGAGTGAAGATGATTTCCAAGCCTGCAGTGATGTCTTTAGGAGGTGGTGCTGACACTGTGGAAACCCAAAGTTTAAACTCATTAAAAATACTGGCCTTACATTCCTTGGCCAGTGACTCACCATCCATGGCACTCACCATTCATGACACCCAAAGCAGAAGATGTGCTTCAGTTCATTAGAGGGTGAAATTCATCCCATAGATGAGATATGTACAAAGTCTGGTTGGCTTTTTGCTTCCCATCAAGAAACACAGGGTTCAAGTAGTTTAGGAAGGTGTAGTTCTGGATGCTGATGGCAATGTCACGATCAAGCTATTAATTACATGTAAAATAACAATAGCCCGCTTGTCTTTCTAGTGTTTCCATTCCAGGTATCACTTTTACTTTCCAAATCCATCACCTTGCT